GGAGTCATGGGAACCGAGTCGCATTGTCTGTAGAGAATTGAAAGAAATAATAAGAAAACCAACTAATTGGCCTGTTTTTTATTGTCACCATATGTGGCTGTTCTCAGCAATGGCAGAGAGAGAACACTTCTCCCTCGGGGAAGACTGCCCGCCGCCACCGGCCACACAGACGTGGGTTTTGATGGTTCTAGGTAACCCGGCGATTGTACCAGAACAGCCGGCGAATCCTCCTTCGGTCGCTTTCCGTGCTGTTAGTTGCATAGCGCGTGGATTTCAGAGTGCTGCAGGCGTGTCCTGCTCCCCTCTCAGACAGCAGCATGCTTCGAGGGCCCCTGCCCATTATGCTTAGGGTTGAAGAACGTTCTCAAAGACAGACTATGGTCTTTGGAAAAACAAGGCAGAGAGCCTGGTTTTGCGCGTGCGATACCAGGACTCGGATGTTGGTTGAGTCCCCACTTTCCCGTTATTCTCCAATGGGGCCCGCAGAGCAGAGAGAGGTCCGGGCACCAAGCGGGCTCTTTAAAAAGACAGAAGCTGGCAGGTGGTGCAAGGGCTGACCGAGAAGCAAGTTCCGGTGCGTGTCAACGGGCTGACCCCAGAAGTGTTCTGCTGAACGGCTCTGAGCCTCAGTTTCTCCATTTATAAAGAGAAGCTAACAGTTTCTGACGGGTTATCATGAGGGTGCCAGGCACGGGGAGGGGTGATGTCTATTAGAAAGCTTTCCAGGACCCAACCAGGGAACGTGTGCCCAGAGCGAGCACCTGAGGGCGGCTGCGTGTGGCTTTGGAGCTGGAACTTCCATTTCCACTGCCGACACGGCGAGTAAAAACGTCTGCGGACGGCAAAGTGAGAACCGGAACTTGGACCCTGGGCACAGCTCAGGGGGGAAAGGAGCCAGGCCAGGGCTCTCGAGGGAGGGACCCACCCCGGGAAGCAAGTGAAAAGGAAGGTTCCTGGGAGCAGTGATCACACGGGACGGGGCGGGGGGGGGGGGGGGGACCTCTCACCAGCTCTCACAGGGCCCCTGTGTCGCACTCGGAGGGAAAAGTTAGGTCCAGACGCGGCTCCGGGAGCAGCGTCCCCAACACCCCTGCCAACCGGCAGATTCGGTTTGTAACCAATGACCCTTCTCTTGCCATCGCCTTGGCTGCGTTTCTGAAGAGTGATGTTTCTTCTCCAAAACGGGGAGAGAAAGCCTGTGAAGCCACCAAATGTCCCCAATCGGACGGAAACCCAAACAAGCACGGACGCCCCCGGCCCTTCCCGCCCGCTGCAGTGTGTGAGGAGCTTCTTCGTTACGCCCTGAAATCGAGTGGCAGAGGGCTCTGGAGGCTGCTGATGCTGGCATCGGGGTGCTGTGGCGGGGTGCCAGCCCTCCCGGGCATGGGCCGCCTGCCCTCCTGGATGCTGAGTGGGGGCTGGGCTCCTCCACCCCGTGCTTCCAGGTCAGACCCTCCCACAATGAGCGGGGCTGTGGGCACAGATCTCCAGGCCCCTCCATGGCCTGTGGGTGACTAACGGCAGAGACAGATCGGCACCGAAAGGGCCGCCCCCGCTACCTACCTGGTGCTTCACAGACAGGCCGAGCCGAGGGGGGAACAGAACAGACCACTTTTCCCCAATGACGGTTTATGTTCGGTATTATTCTGTATCAGTTTCCGACGTACAGCCTAGTGGTTAGATAGTCATGTACTGTACGGAGTGGTTCCCCTGATATTTCAAGTACGCACCTGGCCCCATATATTTAGAATCAGCCTCATTATGTTTCGAGTGTGTTTTGAGCAGTTATTACAATATTATTGACTATATTCCCTAAGCTATCATTTACATCTCTGTGACTGTTTTGTAACTACCAATCTGAACTCCTGAATCCCTTCACCTTTTCCACTCAGCCCTCCCAACGGCCCCTCCCATCTGGATCTGTGAGTCTGTGTCTATTGTGCTGTTAGTTTGTTTGTTTTGTTCCTTAGACCCCACCTGTAAGTCGCATCACAGGGTATCTGCCTTTCTCTGCCCCACTGATTTCACTGAGATGGCACCCTCGAGGTCAGGAAGAAGCCCGCCGTCACGTTGGTCCTGGGGCTCAGATGGCTGGCCCGGTGGGTCAGGCCAGGAGCCACGAACCTGGTGACTTGCCTTTTGAGCTGGAGAGAGACCAAGTGAGCTTCCCCCCCTACAGTGGGGTCCCACCTTCTCCACGAGTCACCCCCTGTCTATGCACCTGCCTGCCTTCCTGGCAATTCCTGAAAACACGGAGGGGAGGTCACGTGAGATTTCATCCTAGGAAAATTTCCAGGTGAAGAAACAGGGCCAAGCGCCTCCAGTGAATCCCTGGCAAGTTTAGAATCAGCCTCCTTCCGTTCCTAGTGTGCGGCACCAGCTGCCCGGCCACGTGGCTTCCTGTTCTCCAAGCGGAATGTCTATGAACGAAGCCGCCTCGCGCCAGGCGCGGCTCCCACGGCAGAGGAAGGCAGCAAAGCAGGCGTCAAGGCTCACTAACCTCACCTGGGCCCTTTCCGAAGACGGGCGCACGGAGGCACCCAGGCTGCCTTGTCGCGTCCCCCGTTCACACGATGCAAATGCATGCATTTTTAGGTCCCGTTCTGAGCCGGTTGCTGCACGGAATCAAGATCCTTTTCACCCCGGCATTCTGGATCTGAACGAGCCTGCGGCACTGTGTCCTACCCCTGTGCCCTCTCTGCGCCTGTTTCCACGTCGGTATTCTGCTCCTGCCCACTCGCTTTCCCGTCCGAGTGGCCCACGGAGGCAGAGGAGCACAGCCTCCGTGTCACGGAGGCCACAGAGCCTCTCCTCGGTAAAACCGAGGGGGTGCATACACTGTAGAAGCAGCAGCAGCAAGTCAGGTGTGATCAGAAGCGGACCCCCGCCCCCCACCCTCCCAGGCCGTGCTCAAACCTCCCCTGTACAGTAAGTGTGCAGAGGAAGCGAACCGTAACCACACCGAGGCTAAAAATGTCACACTGGTTTCTGTATGTGGCTTTTGTAAATCAGTTTAATTACGTCACATTTCCACCACGAACATGTGATAATAAGGTCAGGGTTACCCAGTAGAAGGCAGAAAAAACCCCGGATGTATCACCATATGGCACCCTCCTACAGTCTGTTTTTCCCGACGAGCTGACGATGAATCATGTTGACATCGCGGGGCCATCGCATGCAGACGTGAGGTGGGCTCCCTGGAGCGACCGGGAGCAGGGCTGGCATTGCGGGAGTGGAAGGCTGGCACTTCCTCCTGGGGGCCAAGTGTGACGACTCTCTCTCTCTCTCTGCATTGTCTAGAGTTAAAGAGCCACGTGTCAGAAAGTTACAGCTACTGCCTCCAACGCTGAACTGTGGCCTGTGCTCCACCCAGTCCTCTTGCAAAATGCAATTGCAGATGCCAGTGCTTTGAGATTTGCATGGAAATGATCCAAATCAACTCAAAATAGTATCAAAGGCTGCGTAGAAACCTGTGACGTAGATTTCTGCAGAGGGACCAGGAGGAAGGCCAGGAGTCATACGCCTTTTCAGATTGACCTTTTGATTTGTTTATCATTTGAATGTAGTTTAGTGATTTTCCAGACGGAAAGGACTTGGGTTAGACTGGGCAGCGTCCACCCACCATCCTGGGCCAAACATTTCACATCTGCTAATGTTCCATCCTGACTCTCTCGCAAAAATACTGTAATAATTATTCACAAGGGAGCCTCGGGAACAAGTCGGACATGAGCCAGGAAAATCTATCGTGGCAGACTCCTGTGTACCAAAAATATTTAGGGAAGGTCTTGGGCCCATCCGCATAGCTGACGGGGACTCTCTTAGCCCATTTCCCCACTAAACTAGCATCATAAAAAATTTAAAAATAAGAAGCTTAAAGAGAAGAATTGATCACAACAATAAAGACAATATTTATAGTACACATTTTTTTCTGGAAGGTTTTAGTGAAACAAATACTTAGCTACCTATTTATGAACTCAGGCACTGTTTAATCGTATCGTGGTTTTTGTCAGGATGTTGTCATAATGCTTCATTCTAACTTTTAAAAAGCCTGACACCTGGTTACATACAGACACCCACCAGCTCATCTGTCCAGCTGACAGGGGATGAGGGTTCCCAGGGATTGGGCCGGCCTTGCACATCCTGGGTCACCTGCCTCCTGTCTACAGCATGTAGGTGCCCGCCCTTCCCAGGCCTAGCCAGCCTGGCCCTTCTCCAGGAAAATGAAATGGAACAAAGAAATCTTTCCCCTTAGCTGGACTTGAAATGTGCAAGCTTGGGAGCAGCCAGGGACCATGCTCTCTCCCCGCCGCCACCCCCGCCCCTCCCGCCTGCCCTGAAGAACAGGGGAAGTCGGTCCACAGAAACCAGAGAGAAAGCCCTGATTTCTTCCCAGGCTGGTGGCCAGTCCATCCCAAGGCTCAGCTGCAGGCTCATTCCTGGTTCTGTTTGACAGTCCTGAGAACTTACATTCTCCTTATTGGTTTCACTCTGGGTGTCTCCTGGCCCATACAATGGAAAGCTCTCTAACTATAGTACAAATTCTTATTTCAGAATCACACCATTCCATGGGGTTATGGGTTATGGGCTGATTTAACATCAAAAGTCTTGCAGCTTCTCACAGGCACTGGCTCTGAGTTCTTTCGGCAGAGACCCTGTTCATGCGAAGGACGTGAACTTAACAAGCCCTTTAGCCTCTTTGATTCTTAGTTTCCTAAACCGTAAGCCAGAGAAATTAACTCAAACATAATAATGTGATCCAGTTCGAAAAGCTGGAATTTTGGGGTGAGCCTTGGCATAAAGTCCCAGCTCAGTCACCCCTCAGAGCCTGTGTCCTAATTGGACTGTTTTAAAAATTAGAAAAAAATATAGGCCCATGCACTTGGCATACGACAAGTCCCACATAACAGGCACTTGTAGTATTACTATTACTGTTATTGCTGCTACTGCTCTGCCTTCTCTTCCCAATGGGTGGGAAAGTTCTTCATAAAGAACTATAGGGTGTCCCAAAATTCACGCAAAAAGTAATTTTGATAGAAAACACAGGTTTATATTTAAAAATTGTAAATTTTTTATTGATTCATAAAGTATACAGTATATGGTTATGTATGAAATAGCACATCGGAGGGCAGACCAACAAGAAATTCTTCCTGCCTTTGAACTATCTCTCTTTTATGGAGATACTTCTTCCCAGTTGCCAGGAAGAAATTGTAACTGGAGTGAGTAGGGAGGGACAAGGCATGTTCACGGTATCAGGGTCAAGGGTCCCAAAGGACTTAGCTTGTGTTGTGGCCACTGAGAAATGAAACACAGATCTTTGGTAATCTGATGGCTAAAAAAAAAAGAAAAGAAAGAAATAGCACATCGGGTAAATGGCCTTCACGGCTTTGCTAGCACATACTCAAAGCCGTGGTCTTCATTGGTCTTCATTGTCCCTGCTCCTGGGCCATAATTGGTACTTGGTAATGCTTATCAAATTAAAGAGATTGAAATCAAAGGGCAACAGATATTAGAATCTGATTCAATAACCAAGTAAAATTGGGCTTTTATTTTTTGTTGTTGTTGTAAATGCTCACGCAAAATTCAAATCTTGCGTGAATTTTGGGACACCCTATATAAGTATTTCTCTCTTGGACCGCAACCAGCACGGCTAGAGAGCGGATGACAAGTCCTGAGTAGGGGCGACAGAGGGTTGAGAAAAAGAAAGAGACAGACACAGAGACAGTAGGGAAAGCTGGGACCGGGTGGGACAGCTGCCCTCTGATGGAGAGACAGCGTCCCAGAGCTGGGGCAGCGCGTTTATGATACATAGCATGATTCCAGGAAGTGTTACTAGAGTTTAAGACAAAGGAAATTATGTGAAATCATGGTTAAGGATCAAGCTGCAATTCTTCATTCTTGTGGCTTCTTTGTCATTGTCACTCCTGGCTGAGCCCGGATAATTGCGTCCGTTCCTTGCGTCTGGCTGAACTTAGATAATGAAACCCACCCCCTGGCACCTGAGCTAAGAAGGGTCAGGCTGACAACATACCTGCCTCTGGCATGGAATGTTTCCAGGATGTGGCTCTGCCAACGCCACTGGATTCAGCTGACAACTAGCTCATGTGCCTTCCCAGGCGCTCTCTACAAAGAACAATTCCCTAAATAAAAGGGGAAACTAAGAGGATATTTCTCAAAAGTAAAGAGCAGCTTCTGTTTTGTCTCTCCTACACGGCTGCAGGGGTTCAGCTCTCGGGCAGTCTAACTCCCCAGCTCTGACGGGTTGATCGGGCATAGGTGATGGAAGACAGGAGGGAAATAGACTTTTTCTACCTGTGAAGGAAGAGAAATGCAGCCGGGTGACCGGGGTGCTGCTGGCTGGAGGCAGCCAGACCTGACGCCTGTCCTCAGGCCACTAGCCTCTCTGTAGACCCCAGATGCCACTGCCATCCACTCCTTGGGGCGCTGGAAACACTGGAGGTCATGTGTGTAACGGGGTGCCCAGAGCTAGTTATTTTCATGGCGGCCCTCGCTAGAATGTACCCTGCCCTTCCTGTCTTCCACCCACTTCAGCAGAAATGGAATCATTGTTGTGACAGCTTTGCAGAGTGTCTCTGTGTTAACATGAACCCCTGACGTGTTTTTCCTCCATCAGCAATTTTCCTACCAGGTCATCATTTTAGGGAAAGAGATAAATCAGACCTCCTTCCCTGAGTATTTACTACCTTATTTGGGTTTTTTTAGGAACTGAAATTTGCATTCCGTGCAACTTAAAGGGAACAATCTTGGCAGTTCATACCAGGATCCCATTTTCTCTTTAATCACAAATTATTTTAAAAAGTTAAAGGGATCTCATTCTAGGAAAAATAAGAAGTGACTTTATAGAAATAAAAGAATGGTCTGTATTCCCAACGGCAGGCAGAGTTGATTCTCAAAAGTGCCCTACAAGAGCCTGGCAAGCATGGCTTGTGGTTGAGCGTTGAACTGTGAACCAGGAGGTCAGGATTCGATTCCTGGTCAGAGCACATGCCCGGGTTACAGGCTCAATCCCCAGTGTGGAATGTGTAGAAGGCAGCCAATTGGTGATTATTATCATTGATGTTTCTATCTCTCACTCCCTTCCTCTCTGAAATCAATAACTATGTATATGTATGTATGTATGTGTATGTGTATATGTGTGTGTGTGTGTGTGTGTGTGTGTGTGTGTGTGTGTGTGTATTTAATGTGCCCTGGGAGATAGTACTGCTCTGCTCTGAGGTCCTGGGTGGAGTCTGGGGGGAGAGATGCTGAGCCACGTGACACCACAGTGGGGCTGTCCGAACTTCCGTTCTGGGAGGGCCCTGCCGGAAACATCCCCTGTCTCACAAGCCGTCAGGTGGCAAGGCGATCGACTCATCTGGGTTTGTCCAGGACCATCTCAGTTGCAAGCCCCGGGTCCAAGCGCTCCTCAGTCTCTGGCAAACTGAGATGGTCAGTCACCCCATCAGGTGCTGGTCTGCCCCGCCTCACGTACATCGAACCCTGTAGCTTTCCTAGACACCTGATCCCTGCCCACTCTGCCCCAGAGACCTTTCTTAAATGTTGTTTCTTTTCCTTTCTTACCTAGACAGCAGAAGACAAATACAAGAGAAGGAACTAAGTGTTTAAAGACCGGGCCCTTCTGTCCCACTCCTTCTCTGGCATCTTCAGCTCGTGGCCCATCTCCTGTCCCTGGGTGTTTTAGTCTCCCTGGCCTTCTTCCATGCCAGGGAGATTGTCCAGTGAGGCCCAAACCACTGCTCTGAATGGCCATGGCCTTGGGAGAGAAGGCCATTGCCTCCCTGGTCGCATAGCTCAGGGCCTCAAAGCAGAAACCCCATTGCTGGATCTGCAGCACTCGGGGCCTAGCTTTTGGGCTGTATTTGCTTTCTTGCTTTTATGTAAATGTTTTAAGAGAATATTAATTGTTAATTGGCACCATACTACCTTCCTCACCCTTTCTCCTGTCACGTGTGGAATAGCAGGGGGGCAGTTCCCCTTTCCAGCCGGAGGAAATACATTTGCAAAAAAAAAAACCCAATAGGAAATTCCTCTAGCCTGGTACTTTGTTTTTTAAAGCAAAATTTGCTGGGGAGGGGGTGGTTCATTTTGGTTATCAGAGTAATATATGCATGTATCATGACAAACTAGAAAAGTAAAAAAGGAATTTTTTTTTAAATCACCCAGAATCTCGGAATGGTACCTTTTAAAGCACACTGATACCCACCAGCAGTAGACGCCGGCAGTGGGCAGTCCTTGGTCAGGTGGGTCCCCGGCCATTCACCAGAGCCACGGCTGTTCAGAACATTTGAGTTCTATGGCCTTTTCCGCACCAGCAGCCACAGCAAACACGGTTCCTCGTTACGGACTGTAGTTCTGCTGCTCCATGATGCTGAATTTATGACAGAGCCTGGAGTCCGTCAACAAGTGCTTCTAGCGTTTCTATGGCAGTGCAGGCCCCTCCGTGGGCAGGAGATACACAGAGTGAGTGTACCAAGTTGTACCAAGTGGCAGAGAGAGAGCTTGGGGGTGGGCAGCCAGGGCACCCATCCTGGTGGGAGGCAGGGGAAGTTTCCTGAGGATGTTGTCCCTAAGCCAAGACCTGACCAGAGAGCAGGTGACGGCAGAGAAAGAATGGTCCAGGCCGAGGGGCTGCCTGTGAGGAGGCTCAGAGCTGGAGGGCCCTGTCTGAGGGGCAGCATGGAAGAAGGCCAGGGAGGCGGGGGCCCGAGCTGCAGATGCCAGAGAAGGAAGCCGGGGAGAAGGGACTGGTCTGGAGGTCCAGGCTCATCCACGTGAGTGCTCAGTACCCCTGCGTGGGCAGGGCGGGCTGCTGAGAGCAGGGTGGGTGTGGAAGAGAGTGGCCGGAAGTGAGAAACATCTTGAGAGGACCGGGGAACATGGGTGTGTTTGCAAGCTAACTAGGTGACAGTTTCAGTAGAACCTGGTGACTGATTCAATATGCGGCGAGAAAGGGCCCAGATGACAGGTTGCAGAGGAGAAAACAGTCTGAAAGCTTCATCATTTTGAACAAGGGGCCCTGCGTTTTCATTTTGCATTAGGCCTGCAAGTTTCAGAGCCGGTTCCTGCCCAGGGCTCAGTGTCTTCTGTGTGTTTATGCAGGATCTTCACTTGGCTAATGGGACTTGAACTCCATCCAAGGCCTTGAGATTGTTGATTTATGCTGACAGGAGTGTGAGGCAGCCCCCCGGGCCCCGCTCAGTGCAGTGTGTGTCTGCGAGGGGACCAAGGGTGGTTTGTGATGCAGTTCCCGAGAGCAGGAGCAGACAGAGGGGCACTGTTCGCTAGCGTGGAGACGCTTAGGGGACTGAGGGCATGTTAATAACTTGAGCTTCGAGGTTGCTGCTTCGGTCAAACAGGAATTTCCCTCACCCAAGTTTCATTTAGGTTAGTGACTCAAGTTAAAAAATTCCATCCGCTCAAGCCAGAGCTAAATGGGTATGCAGTTTGGCAGAAAAGACTTCTTATAAGTGAGTGGTTTATTATTTTATTTGGCTAAGAATGTCACAGGATGTCTGAATCTTATGCAATACCAAATTTGCATTTGAAAGAAAATTATTATTGAAAGGGTTTAAAAGAAAATTTGTGAATATTCCTATGTTTGATTTTTTTTTTTTTTACCAAAGCTTAAGGTATAACACAATAAACTGATTATTCAAGGAACTGTCTACAAATTTAATAGAATTGCTTTGCAGGCTTGTAGGCTCGACCAAATAATAATTATTACGTTCATTATTAAGTGTGAAAATACGCTATTAAGAATAACCGAGATATGGATTCACCATTCTAAATTTCTTTAAGTGTCTTATATCTACTTACAGCCAGCAAATCTACAAAATATTAAAATTATAAGGAAATTTTAAATATTAAAATAAGGAAAATTTGGCAAGTCCCTCCACATATTTCCAAGGCTACAAACTTTGAAGTCGATTTGGTAATGTTGTTGAAGGAAGGGCCTTGAAATCAGACAGTTTTAGGCTCAAACCTTGCCTCCATGTTGGGCAAGTTGCTTAAGCTGCCTGAGACTCAGTTTCCCCCGATGTAAGTGAAGATAACCTCTACTTTCTATGTGTATTCTGCAAGCTGCAATCATTTAATAACTTGTATTTTTTAAACTGTATTTTTTTAGTAGCTGCTAAAGGCCACTTAAATGCACAGTCACCTGTGTGAGTCTTCGTGAATTTCCTTAAAAATAAGCCTTCGCTCCTTTGATAAGCCACGCAACTGCCTCTGAGGACCGAAGCCAGTGGCTACTGAGCTAGCCTGTTCTGCACAGGACAAAGAGATGAAGAAACTGGTGTTTTCCCCTCAGAAAA